AAAGGCCTGCCCCATTCCCTGCACCCTGGCATGAATTCTTTTTCATGTCACCCTGCTATGTCCCCTCTTAGTACTTGTAACTCAGTTGACACCCCTTTTGATGACAACTCCATCGTTCCAGTTATTTAGGCCCCAAACTTCTGTTTCATCCTTGACTCCTCTCCTTCTTTTACCCCACCTTCAATCTGTCTAGAAACTCTGATGGCTCTGTCTTGAAAATGCAGGCAATCTGATCACTTCTGACTGCCTCTGCAACCACCCTGTCTTGGTCTGGGCTGCTGTCAATTCTCACCTGATTACTGGAATAGCCACTTAACCAGTTTTCTTGCTTCTGTGTTTTTCCTCTTATAGCTGGCCCTCAATAAAACACCCAAAAGGATCCCTTTAAAACTGTTCAAATCCTCCAGTGGTTCTTCGTTTCTCTCAAAGTCAAGTTCTTACAATGGCCCACAAGGCCTGACATGACCGTCCTCCCATCATCTCTCTAGCCTCTTCCCTACTGTTTTACCCAGCTGGAATTTAAATTTTTGAGGGTAAATATTATTGTCCTTATTGTTCGTCAATGTATCTTAAATACCTAAAACTACCTGCCACACAGCAGGGCCTCAATATGTATCTTTGGATTGAATGCATGAATCTTGTTTACTTCTTTATAATTTATTTTTCCACTGTTAGGCTATGAGCTACATGAGGACAGGATCCTTATTCTTGTTTCATAGCATATCTAAAGCATTCAGAAGAATATACAGTAAACAGTAAATGTTCAACAAGTCCTTGTCGAATAAATAAATGAACACCTATTGGGAAAAGATTAGTGCATCTACTTAGACTACACTGAGTTAATGAATACATTCTACATACAGATGGTTTCCATCCATTCTTATAGGCAGCTATCTGTGGTGGATGTTATACAATAAAGCAAAGAATGAATTGTTCAGATAAATAGAACTTTATGGAAAGTGGTATGTAGGGTCATGGTTGCCCCAAAGTTACAATCATGTAGTGAACTGGAATACATCACAATCAGTATATATCCCAATTCTTTCTGCTATTGGCTCTAAGTATGTAGGCTCTGTCTGCTTAACTTCCTGAGGAAAAAGAAATCTGCCACTTTGATGGTTATTTGCAAAACTGCTTACCCCAGGGGCTTTGATGGTGGGAAAGATTGTTTACAAAACTCGAAAAAAAAGTCATTTCAGTGTATAAGAACACTTTCTATTCTTGTAGGAGAGAGTCATGCTGCCAATGACTTACATTATCTGTTTTATTTTCATCCCTATTGAAGGGCATTCATATCTCTCTTCCTCTGTGCACCTATAGGGGATCCAAAACTATTCTCGGTGATTGTTTGGATTGTTAATCTCTCCAGGGTTTCCTCAACATTCTGAAGGCAGTTTCTGGCACCAAAGGGAAAGTGGAGAAGTTGAGATGCAATTTTATCTCCCAATTGAGCTTGATTAAATGGGGACTGTTCTAATCAAAAGTTTAAATCCTGGGGGAGTGTGATGTTGTTAATAGGTTTGAGAATATTGGAGAAGAACAGAGAGGAAGTGTACTAAAGTCAAAGCAGAGAATCAGGCAAGAAAATAATTGTAGTAAAGCTTATTAAGTCATAAAATTAGGTGAACAAATTGCTTCACAGATAGTGTTAAGCTCATTGCTAGACTGGCAAAGGAAGTGGAAGAAAGCTCTTTGAAAACATTATTTTTACTATTTTAATAATTTGTGTAGGAATCACAGTAGCTGCAATCTGTCAGGGAGAAACAATTGCCAGCTGGTGTCATCGTGGAGTAACTACAGTAGGCTGAATGCAAATACGTTTTGCCTTTTTACCTGGAGAGCATTCAATTTTAGAAAGTTTCTATTCATTTTTGCCTGCATGTAAGGTCTGCCCTTGTAGATAAGGAAGCCTGTTTGTTGTGTGATTTAAGAGCTTTGATTAGGTTCATACCAAGTTCCACAACTGTAATAGGGAGACCACACCTGGGACAGACTGTATTTACACAACCAAAGTTTCCTATTATTAGAAAACGAATTTTTGAGTACATGCCTGAATTGTCTGTGTAATTGCCTTGATTCTATGCATTGTTTTCCTTGTGGTTACTTCAAGGAAATGGTGTCACTTCATTAGCTATTTTGCTGAAAACAAAAAGAGATTTTCTGGAATAATGTTCTTTGCAAAGCATTAAAGGTACACTTATTTATGGAAATACACTTTTTGTTAGCAATGTAGCTGCTATATGTTTGTTGTACATTTTTGTTTTACAATTCTCCTAAGTAATTTCTTTTAACAATTATATAATCATTTTATGATCATTATTGCTATTTTTCCCTCTTTCTCGTAACTAATAGACTAGGTGACAAAGTGCTGCAGGATGTAGAATTGCTCTGCTTTGCCTATAAAGCCAGGAGGAGAGAGAACATAATTTAATTATTCTACTGCAATTCTGTTGTCTCTTCCTTCCTCTTGACTCAAATGGTCTCAAGAGGGGAGAGAGAACAGTATGGGCTCTGTTGATGTTAGTTGAACTTCAGTGGTGAAGTGAATGTGTTTCTGGGATATTAGTGGTTTCTAATCTTGGCTTTGCTTTCACCTAGCTTTCCTTGCTTCAGTTTCCTCTTTGAAATGGGATATTATACTTCTCTTATCTCCTTTGAGTGTTGTTCTGAGAAACAAATGAAATAATGGCTGGGAGAGTGCTTTCCACTATACAAATTACCACTAGCATTCTGGTTATCCATTTGGGTAGCTAACAAGGTGATGTTTATCCATGTGATATCAAGCAATTTTACAGGAAATGAGAAGCTTCTTCAATAAGGTAATATAAAAAAAAATGATATTTTAGTTAACCGAAGCAGAGGTCTGTATATATTAACCAGATATATGCAGAATATAATTGTTGGGTTTTATTGGTTTTTGTTTTATCACAATTCCTTGCTGTGGAGTGTGGTGTGATGACATTAAGAAGATTTCAAACTTAAGTGAGAGAAAAAGAAATGGACTCAAATAAGCTTTAAAGAAGCTGATTCATCTTACCCAACACCTTTCCTACTAATATAGACTCCTACATATTAGGAAAGGCACGGGTTGGAGTTGTTTATAGAGTTGAAAACAGAAAGGAAGCAGAGGAGGGAAGTTTTGTTGAGAAGAATTCCACCTGTCTAGAACAATAAAAATAACTTCCTATGGGCAAACTTTGGCGTCCCTGAAAGAGCTCTGGATCTTAACTGATGACTGCAGAGGGGACACCGTGATAAATAGGTGAGATCAGCAGAGTGTCTCGGGAAGAAACAAGCACTGCATGGATTCATAAAGAGACCAGGTGGGAAGGTGGGCTGCTATGAAATATTATAGCACACCTGTGGAATGCCAGGTGGGGTGGACTGCAGCTGGTAGTGTGGCTGGGAGGGACCCATCGGCCTGGGCCAGGCAATCAGACTGCCTGGTCCTCATCTTCAACACATTGCCACTCTCCACTCGGACAATAGGTCGGGCAGTTTTAGGGATTCTGGTGGAGCAGTTACAACAATTTGATCATACATCTATTCACTATCTGAAAAATAGAAGTTGTTATTGAGGAAAGATTTAGTTCTGGGGTAATACTAAAGGCAACATCTAGGTGTTTGAGAAATAAAGTTTCCGAAAACATCTGCATACAAATTAGGTCTGATCATGAAATATAGACAAGTTTAAGCCTTACCACCATTGTTGGGAAGGAATAAACCTTGAACATTTAGGAGTTCAATGTCTATTAGTAGAATGTGTTTTTTGTTTTGTTTTGTTTTGTTTTTAGGAGGTGATCCCTAAACTCCTTTTTATGTTCTAAGTAACGCATGGTTGAGGGCTGGACTGTCTAGTGCTGAAAGAAAGTGTGTGTTGAACATAGAGACCGATACACAGCAGGTTAATGGATGCTGGTTGAATACAGTTGCATAGTTGGACGCACCAAGTTTGTTGTTAAGGGAGGATCAGCATAAAACTCGAGCACCAGTTAGAATGTCTTGGGTAGAAATTCATAGCAGCCTGGAGCCAGTTTCCTCCGCCGAGAAGGGAACTGCCAACCAGTGTGAAGTCTTGTCTAGGTGAGTCTTCCCGAGCGTGTGCAGGTGTTATTCCTGCGAATAAGGCCGGCCACTGCCAGACGGAGGAGCTCCCCATTTAGAGTTCTCAGATCGCTTACCTCGGGGCCTCTGCTCGCCCCACCTTTGCCTTTCTGCCAAATCTCTCCTCGCTCCAGGGCGAAGGGATTCCCACCCCCAGCTGCCTCCTCCAAACCCAGCGGAGCAGCGGACTCCTCCCCTGGAAACTCCTCCGGGGCTGGGGAAGGCTTTGGCGCATGCTCCGTACCTAGGGCAGGTTTTTGCTGCGGGTAGCAGGGCTCCTGTCACACCGGCTGGCGGGTTGTGGCGGTGCCAGCCTGTGTGTGCGAGTGTGTCTGCGTGCCTGCGCCTGGGCGGACAGCCCCGAGCGGCAGTGCGACTCGCCGGGAGAGGCGTCTCCGCAGAGGCGCCTCGCCCGCTGCCGCTGCGCTGCGCTGCGGGGGCAGCTCTGCAAACTTGCGGCGAGCGCCGTCCGCCCTCGCGGCTCCAGAGCCCCGCGACCTGCCGGCAAAGGCGCCGGGCGCGCGTGCGGGGCGCGGTGCCCGCGGCCGGCCGGGGAGGCGGGACCGGGCCGCGCCTTCGCCCTTCGCCGGCGCCCTGGCGAGCCTCATGAAGCCCCAGCGCTCGCGGCCGCAGCTACCCGGCGGCCCGGCTGCGTGCGGCAGGTCAGGACCCGAACCCCGCTCCTCAGCTCCTGAGCGCCCCCGAGCCGCCGGCGGGATGCCGCGCGTCGCCTGAGAGCGCCGCGCCGGGGCGGGAGCAGGGAGCGGGCCGGCCCGGGCGCCCTCGGGAGCGCAGGGCGCCCCACGCCGCAGCCGCAGCCGAGCGCGCCGGCGCCCGCCTCCCCCGCCCGGCTCGCAGGCCCGGGCTCCGCCAGTCCCGAGGGCCGTGGGGCCGCCAGCCAGCCGCACGCCTCGGCGTCAGGGGCATGGAGGAACGGCGGGCTCCGAGCCGCGCCCCGGAGTCCCCGAAACTTCCGAGCGGGCGCCCGTCTGCCCTGCCGCCGCCTCCGCCGCCGCTTCGCCTGCCGGCCTGAGAGCGGGACCATGGATGAAAGGTTCAACAAGTGGCTGCTGACGCCGGTGCTCACTCTCCTCTTCGTGGTCATCATGTACCAGTACGTGTCCCCCTCCTGCACCAGCTCCTGCACCAACTTCGGGGAGCAGCCCCGCGCGGGGGAGGCCGGCCCGCCAGCCGTTCCGGGTCCCGCCCGCCGAGCTCCGGCGCCGCCTGAGGAGTGGGAGCGGCGGCCCCAGCTTCCCCCGCCGCCCCGGGGGCCGCCCGAGGGGCCTCGGGGGGCCGCGGCGCCGGAGGAGGAGGACGAGGAGCCCGGAGACCCGGAGGAGGAGGAGGAAGAGGAGGAGGAAGACGAGCCGGACCCCGAGGCCCCGGAGAACGGCTCCCTGCCCCGGTTCGTGCCGCGCTTCAACTTCACCCTGAAGGACCTGACCCGCTTCGTGGATTTCAACATCAAAGGGCGCGACGTGATCGTGTTCCTGCACATCCAGAAGACCGGGGGCACCACGTTCGGCCGGCACCTGGTGAAGAACATCCGGCTGGAGCAGCCCTGTAGCTGCAAAGCCGGCCAGAAGAAGTGCACCTGCCACCGGCCTGGCAAGAAGGAGACGTGGCTCTTCTCCCGATTCTCCACCGGCTGGAGCTGCGGGCTGCACGCCGACTGGACGGAGCTCACCAACTGCGTGCCGGCCATCATGGAGAAGAAGGACTGTCCCCGCAACCACAGCCACACCAGGTACTGTCCCCCGCTCTGTCCCGCTTCTTCCTCCCAGCGCCCTGTCCCTCTTCCCCAGTTCCGACCCAGAGCGACCCCGCGCTCCCTGCCCCTGCCGGTGGTTCCCTGGCGTCTTCAGCGGTTGGCGCCGTGGTTTTGGGGAGGGATAAAAAACCTCTGGATAGTGCCCAGGTCCTGAACTCATTCTTCCCCCAGCCCCCACTGCTTCCCGCCACCCCCTGCCTTCACCACCTAAGGTGTGCGGAGTCACTGTGTGGATCCTTCTTGGTGCCTAGTACGCTGTGGCCTCCCTCCCAGTGGACGCTGGAAACACGTCCTGAAATGGGGAGGGGATCGCCCTCTGGGTTAGAACAGCCTTGTAGAATTGTGACCTTAAGTTTTGGAAGTGCAAACCCAAACCCAGGAAAAGGCAGGGCAGGAGTTTTCCAGGCGTTGCGAAGCCCGAGACGATTATAATCCCTTCATAAGTGGCGTTTGGGTGGCAGCTCAGGAAACAATCAATCCTCTAGATGCCACTTTGAAGACACACGTGCAAATTCCTGCCTCTACCTCAGTAGATAACTCTAATTCTGGAGATGGTCTTTGTTGTCCAGCAGTGCCAGGATTTGGACTCACTTGTGCTCAGAAATATTTCCATTCTCTTCCTAGGCCATTACATCAACTTATTCCAAAAGTACTTGTTAAATACTTATAAGATGCCTCACAATGTTCTAGGTGCTAAATGAGTATAAAGATAAAATAACATCCCTTGTTTTCAGGATGGAATGACATTCTTGATCCCCTGCCTCCCACCCTTAAAAAGCAATAATACAGTGAAGAATTAGGAAAGTTAAAAATCTTAATAGCCAATGAAATGGCTTACATTATTAACATGCTTTGAGAGAGGCATGGGCTTAAGAATTTGGTTGAATGCTCTTTCTGCCCATTGCAATTTGAAGACTAATCTGACATGCTTGCTCGAGGACAAACATATTAAAAGCTTGGAACACTAGTTCATTGAAGTTTTTATCTTAAAGGTTTCAAACAATTTGGTGTGAGGGAATAGGAATTTAAAAGCTCAAGCTCATTATGTTGATATCAGATAGCTTTTGCATTTGACGTTATAGAAAAGCATCATTTGCTGGAAGCTACCCGTATTCTGGAATTCACCACCACTGAAGCATCTAATTCTACTTCATTTCTCTAAGAATGAGCAAAATTTCATTATGGGATTTTTTTACTCTGGCAATTTTTCAAATACGTTCCTCCCTGCTCCTTTTCCTGTTTCATTGACATTGGTTAATAAGAAATTGTTTGGATTTGGAATGAGGGCATTAGGCTCTTCCCTTTGTATATTTTATGGATCTTTGCATTTAAATATTTTTAATAGTATATTACTTTAGATCTTGCTACTCTCTTTTAGCTTAAAACAGTTTTTCAATTAAATATTACTTCCAAACCTCCTAACACATAACACGATTACTTCAGTGAGACACAATTTCTGCTACATTTCATTCAACCTTGTACTCTGTGTTTAGATTAATTCCTGATTGACCCCAAAGAGTTTGCTAGACTGCTTCCCAGCTTCCATTTTCACTAAAACTGGAGTCTTACTGATTATCACATAGAAACGTCTGATTACTCTTCAGTACGGGCTGGTGTTATTTTTTCTCCATGTACATAAAAGTCATAGTAAATAGATGAAGATTTTGGAGGAGTTAGAGAAGGATGTAAAATCTAAAAAAATTAGATTTTTGCTTAGTGATGAATAATGCTACCACAGACCCTGCATAGATGGCAACCAGTAAGGTCTCACTTCTATGGGAAATACTTAATATCTCTTTACTCTGTGACTAGGAAATCTCTACCATGACTGTTTAAACATATGATTTCTAGTGTGTGATCAGACTATTTTCTTTATTTAGTAATGAAGCATAAACATTCATTTCTCCCTGAATCACAGGTTAGCAGACAATTAGTCACCCTGTTCTGTTTTTTTTCTTTTTTTTAAAAAAAATATTTTTTTGGTAGTATTTTGCTTGTACCTCACTTTACAATTTGTCTTTCTTTTCCTTCCCACCCTCTCTGTCTTCCCAGTAATTCTCAAGTACTTCCTTGCTCTAGGTACTGTAGGAAGGAATAGTTGTGGCATATGCGAAGTGTCCTGCATCAAAAGCTATAGGGAAAAAGTTGAAAGGATGTTAACAGTAGCATCTCTCTAGCAGAGAAGATTGAATTAGTTGTCTGTCATTGTAATGTCTGTGTACAGCATTCTGCAGTCAACTAGATTAGCCTGGATAATGGAGGGTACATTTTCACAATGTAAAATGGCAGATAATCTATTACTACATAATGGGAACAAGGTTCTACTTCAAATAGGGCTGACTCTAAGCAAAATTGATGAGTAGATCTTGTTGATTTTGGTTCCCTAGTCTCTCTGCTTTTGGTGCCCCCAAAGTACCTCCTCCCAGTTTCACTCAGAGATCAGTGCCCTTATGGATGACATAATAAGTGAGAGTAAGGATTATGGAGTCAGATAAATATGGCTCTTGTACTTACTAGCTGTGTATCCAGGAGTAAGTTACTCTTTCTGAGTCTCAGCTTCTTCACTTTTAAAGTGTAGATAATAATTAGTATGGCCATTATAGGAGTGTTGTGAGAGCTAAATGAATCAATACATGCAAAATGCTTAGCATAGTATAATATGCTGGCATATCGTACTTAATATGTGGATATTCAGTAATACTGCAGTATCAGTTGTAAATTGCAATAATAGTTTCCCTATTCAAGGCCTTCTTACTAAAAAAAAAAACAAAAAAAACATGAGATCAGTTTCTTAGAGAAGCACTGTGTAAATGGGTCACCTTACAGAGCTGCCGTTTTATGATTACTTGTACTAAGCATCCTAGGTTCCAAACTTAATATGTTGGAAATTATGGACATTTGGGCATCAGTCATTGAAGGGGCAAGGCAGGGAACAGAGTTGGGGGCACACAATATAATTGGATATACATTATTTTGATAACACAAAAAACTATCCGAAATGGGTGAGAGAGGACATGAGAACATCCAAGACTGAAGAAAGAAGGGGGAAGCCAACTCTGAAAAAAAAAAAAAAAAACATGCGAACTTGAAGGGGCCATCATATGGATTATGTGGGCAGTGAGGGGGCAGGACTCTGGGCTGGTGGTTTGAATCCAGCACAGAGGTAATTTCTGACCACAGAAATTGGTTAGAATAGGATGATGGCACATTGGAATGACCTCTTTTATCGTATCACTGATGATTTTTTTCTTATTATTTTTGTGTTGCTTTTTTCCCCTCAGTTATTTCTTTGGAAGGTTTTTCTTTCTCACTTCCTTAATGCTTCCTTATTACTGTATGCCCCTTTATCTGCATGTCCAGAGTCTTAAAAGACTCCTTTTCAGCATTCTTGAGTATGTGTAGAATTATAACATTTTATGGCTAAGAAAGACTGAGGAGAGAATCTAGTCCCACATTTTTCATGGGGAATCTAACCATAAAAAGGCGAAATGATACAACTAAGGTGTCTTGAGGGAATTCATGTCTTCATTTCATAATTTATATTCAATGTTTTGTTTACTCTCTCTTCTGTTTACTATGAAAAATGTAGTGGAGCATGCCTCAAGCACCTACTTATGTGCCAGGCACTATGATAGTTCTGGGAATTGAGTTCTGAACATTGGCAGCCCTGTGTAGCCTAGGCTTCATCTTTGGTAAGTAAGTATCACTCCCATTCTTAAATAATGATGGAAAGATATTCTATCTGTATCCTTTTATAGGATAGGATGGCAATTTTTCTCTTTTATGACCTGCATTCTATTGGTTTTGTTAGTGTAGTTTGAACCCTGTGGATGTTATATTAAATAGGACCTTGTGTGTTGCAAATGATACAAACCTAACTCAAACTTATTTCAACCAGAGGGGAATTATTGGCTTATCCAGTCACGTCACAGGAAGGCAGGGGAGAGGTGGTTTCAGGAACAACTGGAACTGGAGATTTGGGGTCTTTCTTCACATACTTCTTTGTGTATTGATCTCATTCTATCAAATTGGCTAATTCCACAACGTGGGTAAAGGTTCTTCGTATCTAATAGCTCCACAAGCTGAGAGAGAAGCAGGCCTTCTTGGAGCTCCAGTTTGAAATTTTGGGGAATGACTCTGGTTAGCCCAGAGTAGAACTTGTGACTATTCTTTCAGTCAATCATTGTGTCCAGGGAGAGAGAGAAGGCCTCTCCTTGTATTACAGAAGCATTTCTATAGTGTGTGTGCGTGTGTGTGTGTGTGTGTGTGTGTGTGTGTGTGTGTGTGTTTTATGTGGAAGAAGAGGAGCTAGCATAGATACAGCTCCTGGATGGACCATTGGGTTCTGGACAATCTCTCTAACGGTTTCAGCTGTCAGTGCAAATACATGAGAAATAAATGAAACTTCAGATCTCTTTTTTGTATTCCACTTAGGAAAAATTTTAGGCCAAACTGCAACTTGAATTTATTTGCAGCATCTGGAAACCATCTCATATGAGAATTAATTGAAATAATGTATAATATTTAATATGGAGATGAGAAAAATGAGGAGAGACATAAAGACTGCCTTCAAATAGTGAAAGGAGAGAGATGTGGAAGGTGAAGGAGACTTGTTCTGTATTGCTCCAAAGGAGAGAACTAGGATAAGAAGTGATGAGATTTCAACTCAAAGTAAGAAAGAACTTAATAAAATTTATAACTGTCTAAAAAGCGCATGAACTCTTTTGTGCTCTTTTATCAGTAAAAACTTTAGGAATGCCTGGTTAACTACTGATGTTGTAAAAGGAATTTCTTCTTGGGGAAGGGCTGAGCCTGAATGGCCTTTTATTTTAAGTTTCATTAGTTCTAATCTAAGCTGAGTGCAGGGTATCTTTCTTCCCCTACTTCCTACCCCATACATAGAAAAGAAAAAAAGGATTATAAATGAACTAGTCCTCTAGCATTTGTAAATATTTCTACTGAGGAAACTTTTTGTC